ACATGCTAAAACACAGGTGCTCTGGTGGCATAGTGCCTAAGGTATTTGACTGCTAACCAGAAGGCTGGCAGTTCAAACTCACCAGCCACTCCTCAGAAGGAAGATTGGGCAATCTCCTTCTGTAGAGATACTGCCTCGGAAACCCAAGGAGGGGTCACTATGAGTCAGAGCTGACTCAACGGCAGTGAGTTTGGATGCTAAAACACTAGTATGAATGAATCCTTTCAACTATAATGTATATATAATTATGAGAAAAAATACAAATCAAAAATGCTGCTTATGCAAATATGCATCAGTACTAACACTTCGAACCCACCAGCTGCTCTGCTGAAGAAAGATGAGGCAGTATGCTTTTATGAACATTTATAGCCTTGGAAATCCAACGGTGCAGTTCTACCGTGTCCTATAGGGTCACTATGAGTCAGGATCATCTCAATGACAGTGCGTTATTCACACTATTGGATTAACCAAAAGCACCCACAACAATCTACGCTGGTAACAATGGCATTAACCCAACAGTAATTTATAATTAAAAAGCAAGACCAGCAACATTTAAAAATGATGATCCTCTTGGACAAACAACAGTGATGAATGTTCCTACAAAATGTAGGAATTTCTCCTGGGATAGTAACATCTGCTATTAAAGATTATTTCGGATCTGGGGAAAAATTGAAAACCTGGATTAAAGTAGTAGCTTTGAGTATAGAGTTGGCTAGTTCATCTACAAGATGCATATTTAGAAAGATCTTAGTGGTGATCTATGGTGAGTGGTTGAGAACAAGGAAGTGAAGGTGATTCTGACATTTCTAGCTTGCGCAACCAAGAAGCTAAGCTTTGTTATCAAGTAAAACAGGAAACAGAAGAAAAAGGAGGTTAGAGGTAAGGTAAAAGTGATGAGTTCAGTGACTGATATATAGATAAAGTATCTACAGAATATTCAGGTAGAGATACCTAAAAGGCAATTAGAAATTCGTTCAGTATCAGGCACTAAGTGCTGGGACATGAAGATAGTGGACAATCCCCTTCCTCCCTTAAAAAAAAGCTCACAATCTAGTTGGAAAGACAGATAAACATATGGACTCAAAGAACATAGCCCATGAAGCTCTTTGGTGGAGGCATGAACTAGGTACTACGGGATCACAGAAGAGGAACACCAACTCCAGACTAAGATGGGTCAAGAAAAGCAGTGGAAAGTAAAGCTGCAGCCAAAACTATGTGAATTCACCCAAGTAACAGAAGAAAACTGAAGATAAATACTGTTGTTGTTGTTGTTATGTGCCGTCGAGTCGGCCCCGACTCATAGCGACCCCTCCTTGGGTTTCCGAGGCAGT